TTGAATTTATTAAGCTATTTGATTTTTTAATCTTACTAATTGAGTCATTTGCAATTTTAAGTTATATTTCTGGTTATCTAATTACTGCCAAAAAAATTTAAAGTAACATTTTACTTTTTTGCATTTTTATTACTTTATTTTACAACAAAAATTCTACCAATAAATTAATTTATTAGACAACTTATAAAAGTTATTTCCGACAAAAAACTTCATTATGAAATCTAGATGTTATTTTGTTACTTATGAACTCTTCCATCAATAGTATTAATTATTATTTTATTTTATTTTAATTTCTTTAGCTTAGAGGATAATCTATAAATTGAAAGTTGAATCGGCTTTAAAATGTGGGTAACCTATTTACACAAATGCAAATATAAAATACTATTTAGTCCAAAAATATTGTGGTGGAGAAAATAAAAACGTGTGTAATGTCAAACCGCAACGACAACCGCATACCGGAGCCAACCTCCATCGCGGCATCTCCTCAAACCTTCTCGCCGAGGGCCATGCCACCAGTCGCGGGTTACCTATTTACACAAATGCAAATATAAAATATGTTGAGTTTTTATTTATGTCAAAAATATTGTTAATACTTTGGGACAAAATTGCAAGAAAATTCTCATGAATTGTTTGACAACCTCCCAAATAGAGACAAGAGACATGACCTTCAACAATAATGCAAGTAACATGTTCAATTGGATTATCATTCATCAGTTGTACAATAATTGCTTCGCTTTATTTGCTACCTTTGCACCAGAGGGCGGAATCATAATACACCCACTTGAATAGAATTACCAGGCCCTTGTTTGATAAAAATTAAAAATTATATTTTAATAATTAATTTTAATTATATATTCTATGAAATTAATAATTTTTTAAACATACGTTTCATTAACTTTTATCAAAATTTACTAAAAATCTGATTTTAATGTCCATTGTTTGACTTTTAAAAACATAGTTTCGAATTATATTTTTTAAAGAATGTGTGGTTAAAAAGTAGAATTTTATTTGTAAATTTATGTGTAAAATATTTTATTGTATGAATTATGATTAAAAATGAGTATAAAAAATAAATTAAATTAAAATAAAGAATGTCAAACAAGGGCATCATTGAATTGAACCAATTAAACCCACATCCTTAAATTGGTTGAAAATGGATATAAATAATGGTTTGTGGAATCAAGGTGTAATTAATAGCCAAAATAAAAGGAAAAAAAGAAAGGTGGTCACGTTTTTCATAATAATAATGACAGCCATGGATATTATGTGTTAATTATCTTTTTACTAATTTATTTGGGACTTGTTTGTACTTTTTTAAAAAAATGGGACCATGATTACAATTAGTCCTTTTTTTTTTTAATTTAAATAGAAATGTATATTCATCATTTTACAACTTTTAATTAAGAAAATAGATGAAAATGACATTTTGCACAATGAAATGTTTTCATAAGGATGAAAATGCCAAAAAAATGAAAGGTAAGACATTTTTCACAATAATAATAAAAGGTAATGACATTATATTTCTAATTATCCTAAAAATAAATTAAATTAAGGTATGTTTGATTGCATTTATTTTTTACGAAAAATATAAGTTTTTCTCTCAAATTCTTACTTTGGAGTGTTTGATTGCTATTTTTTCATTGAAAATATTTTTCAACTTATGAAAAAATGCTTAATTTTTCTTTTTTTAACGAAAATACTTTCTTTGGGGGAGTATGTTTTTGTTTTTCTCAAAACAAAGAAAATATTTTTATATGTGATATTTTTCATGCCAATTAAACACACTTTAAAGTAAGAATGTCCAACGTGGGCATTATTGAATGTCCAACGTGGGCATTATTGAATTGAACCAATAAAACTCGAGGTATTTTAAAAAATGTCCAATTTTATGGATGTCAATTCAGAAATGTCCACTTTTTAAATTTAGTACTAAACTGTCTATAATATCTTTAATGAAAAAATGAAGCAATTAATTTTTTTTCAATTTGCCGCGAATTTCGGGAAGTTGCTTCCATGAAAAGCTACATTAAGCCCTCGTTTGGTACCCATTTTTTTTCAAAATGTATTTTTTCTCTTCTTTTCAACCACACATTCTTTATTAAAATAATATTACACGTAAATCAAAATTTTTCCTTATTTTTCAATCACATACTTCCCATCAAGTTACTATTCTAAAATGCATTTTTACATAAAAATGGTTATCAAACACCCCCTAAAATGATGTTCTCGGCATTTCAAATGTCGATCTCGATATTTAAATCCCGTTTATATTTCAAAAGTACACATGTCAAATCACAACATTAAATGTTTTCGACATTTCAAATGGTGCTCTCAATATATTAGATGTTTAGAATGACATTTCATTCTAAACATGACATTTTTCTACATTTGAAATGTAGTTTTCTACATTTCTATGTCAATGAGAAAAATATCATTTATTGTGCTTTGATATGTGCACTTTTGAAATAAATAGAGCTAGTTCTGTGTCAAAATTTTATTGGATAGTAAAATTTTTAATTGCAAAATTGTCCATTTTTGTCTTTGTATGGAATCATAAATTGTGAACAAGGATATTTTGGTCTAAATTATTTCAAAATGGACATTTTTACAAGGATTTGCAATGGTGAATATTTTTACAAATGGATTCGTGAAAGTGACATATTTAATAATTTCCTTATAAAACTCACATCCTTAAATCCTACGGTCGGGCACACATTGGGCCCACATCAAAGTGGATACACGCACCCGAACCGCGTCTAGGATTCATCACCCCAAATAGTTCAAAAGTGAGAAAACATGGAGGACAGTGCACTATTTCCACACAGATCTGTATCTGTACCTGTAATCCATAAAAGTTCTCAACTACTACCCGCGTGTCATATTCAAAGAAGAGTATGTTCTATCTACCCAAATTTGAAACGGAAGCCGAATAGCATACGGATGAAGAACTCTCCGATTTTTTCTTGTCCCCATCGAAATATTTATGGGATTGTTCGATAGTGATTATGAGAATTATTTTTTGACAGTTAGAGAAAAGTCGATCAAGAATGATGGCTGACTTAGAATAGTAACAGTCAAAAAAGTTAATTTTTTGGAGTGAAAAATCAGAATCAAGCAAGCACATAAAATGGGACGTCAACTATAAATTTTCTCATTTATCATCTCCTTTAATTATTATTTTTAAATATAATTTAAATTAAAAAAATTGAGTGGAGGACCATATTCCCCACGGAGAGCGAAGAATATTGTCATCTCTATCCCTAATGTCCTTAATAACAATGCCACCTCCTTATATTCTCAAATTCACTCTCAAGTCGAGAACTCCTCGTCTTTACAATTAGTCTTGCATTCTCATAATTTTCGTAGAATTAACCACTGTATCATCTTCATATTTAGTTATTCCACCTGTCCCTTTTCAAGTTTACCCTTGTAACTATGTGCTTGTCCGTGCCTAGTTATGGCAATGGGTCGAATCGACTCGACCCTTTAACTCACGAGCTCGGCTTGATCTTATGGCGAGCCGAGCTTGTAGCTTTTGAAAGATGAGCCGAGCTCGAGTTTGACTCGTTGCTCCAGGGCTAGCTCGGCTCGATCCACGAGTTTGTAAGTTCACGAGCCACGAGCTCGTGATTTTTAAAATTTTATTATAATTATTATTTTTTTTGGATTTTTTGACTTTTCATTTGTAAATTGACACATTTTTTGAAAAGCTCGTGGACTCGTAAAAAATGGCTCATGGGATTGAGCCACCACTCAGCTCGAACTCGTCAAATGACGAGCCCCAGCTGCCCATGAGCCGACAAGCTGCTCGACCTGTTTGACATCCCTATTTGTGCCCCATTATTGATGAATAATGTGTTATGAAATAGTGATTGATATTAAAATATGTGGTTAAAAAATGAAATTTTTATTTATTTATGTGTAATATTATTTTAATGAAAAATATGTTGTTGAAAATGAGTATTGTAGAAAAATAATATAATGGAATGGTAGGTAAGCAAGACCTATAATTTAATCAAATTCTGATCAACATACTTTTTATCCGCACATTAGATGATTCACGTGCTATAATCATTTAAATTTTAATTTAGTCACTCTCAAAACATGCTCACGTCGCCATCTTTCACGCAATGTAATTTGGCTTCTTCATCTCACATTATTATTATTATTATTATTATTTCGATAATCCCTCTCCCATTATTAAGCCTACGTTTTATTAATATTTATAAATGATCAAATTACTTTTCGTTCATACAATTTTTAGAATTTACAATTATTATTTACTTATCATCAATTATTTTTAATTTTTTAATTTAAATTATTTTTTATAACTTTCCATAACAAGCTTTAAATAAAATAATTTCTTTTGCCATAATTCCTTCATTTTATATTGTTGAGCCCTATACTTGTAAACAAACCCAAAAATACCCTCATTCATTTTGTGGCAAATTTGAAGCTTTAGATCAAAATCGCAATTGTAATTTGTTGCTTCAAACTCCTTGCAAAATGTTAGTGAAATTTCAAGATTATAAAAGAATGTCTATTGAATTTATGAATTAGATACAAAACTTTAGTTATCTACAAAGGGATTTAAAGCCTGTTCAATGTGTTTTTTTCCCCGTAGAACGTGCGATTGAAAAAGTAGAAAAAAGTTATAAAGTCAGATTGCACGGTTGAAAATAATTTTACAAAATTTCTCAAACATAAGCTCTTAGTTGACATCAAGACGATTAATCAAAATGCTTTTTGAGTAAATATTCCATGATCATGAATAAATTATTTTAGTTTGATATCCTAAAAACCTAAAATTCATATAGATTAAAAATTTTCAAAATTTCCAATGTACAAATGATCAGCCCAAGAAACTATCTAAATACATAAAAATCATTTTAAACGAGTATAATTGACATTTTATGATTTATCTAGTTCACAATAGACATTTTTGACCAAAGATTTATTTTATTTTATTTTAATTTTTGGGCCATCGCAACTTCTGGGAAAGGTAAATGGCACAATTTCTTTCTGACGCGAGCTTAAAAATCAAGCCTACTTTTATCAGACATCACTGTTCTGTACTTCCACTTAGGTTTTCTTTTACCACAAACCCATAAAATCAACGGTAAGCCATGGAGGGTTCTACGAAATAATTTCGTTATTGATGGTCCTCCCCTGCTTTCTTGCTTTTGCTGTCAAACGAACTGCTGCAAAATCCTGCAGGCTGCATAGAAAGAAGATGCTGCTTTGGTTTTTCCAGTAACTTGCTCAAAACCATACGCTGAAGGAGGGAAAAATAATAATAATACAGGCTGAAACAGAATGTTGAATGTGGGTTTTTATTGATTATTTTCAGTTGATTACAGTGGGCAAAGATGAAGGATTTGATATCTTTCATGGGTAAGTAGTACTTTAGTTACAGCAACTTCTTTTATTTATTTAAATTTGGTAAAGAAAATTGAGAGAAAGATACTATCTTTTTCTCTTTCTTTTCTTGTTTTATCTCTGGTTTTATCTTTATAAAGAAATTCAACCACCGTACTTTTCTTGTTTGTTTTTCTTTTTCATCTTGTTTACCTTTCTGGGTTTTCTGCAGGAACAAGAGAAAATATTAAGTGAACTACTGGCTACTGCCATACTATAGTTGGTAGCTTGGCTTGGAACAAGAAAGAAGAGATTTTTCTTTGCTTCTTTCTTTCTTTACTCAAAGAAAGAATAGCTGGTGATTGAAAGAAAAAAGGTAGGTTTGGAGGGTTGGAGTGGAATCTACTACCACCCAGATATAGAAGAACATGGATGCATATGAAGCAACAAAGACTGTTTTTCAAAGGATCCAAAGTTTGTACCCTGAAAATGCCTCTAAAATCATGGGAATTCTCCTGTTACAAGACCATGGTGAGAAAGAAATGATCCGTTTGGCTTTTGGCCCTGAATCTTTGGTTCACTCTGTGATTCTTAAAGCTACAAAAGATTTTGGTTTAGCTTCATCAAATACTTCTTCAACCCCTTCAAGTCCTTCTCCTTCACCATTCAGCAACTCTTTATCTCTCTCAAGTACCAATTCTTCTTCTAGGCTACTTGGTGGTGTGAATTTTCCTTCTCCTCTCAGTATTCCTATCCAGTCTTCAACTGCAGTTTCTTCTTGGGCTAATTCAAGCTTCTCTGATTTTCAAACCCAAGATGATTTAATTAGTCCTGGTTCTGCGCCAGTTGCATATAATGCAACCACATCATCTGCTATGAATTCTGCTGCGCTTCCTTTCTATGCAACTGGAGAGGTTGATCTGATTGATGAGCTTCATTTACAAGATCAGCTCTCTTTCCTCAACGATGGCTCTCCATTACTGATGCCTAAAAGCCCCGATATGTTCTACCCACAGCAAGATTTGGCTTCTAGCCCAAGTGGAAATGGAGGTGGTGAAGGGATGCTCTTCACTTCTTACGGTGGTGCCGCCGATAACTGGGGTGGTGACTCATTCGACGGCTTGCCTCACCGCCGTAGCTGCTCAGCGAGTGATGTCTGTTTGGGCCCTGATGATCTTGGTGGAGGGTTCGGATGGAAACCTTGCCTTTACTTTGCTAGAGGGTACTGCAAGAATGGCACCAGTTGCAGGTTTGTCCATGGCGAGAATGGGGCGGATGATGCCTCCATGGTTGGCTCACCGAGCAAATTTGAGATGATGGAGCAGTGTCAACGGCTGCTTAGATCCAAGTCTGTGCAACAACAAAGGCTGGCCGCAGCTTCTCAACTCATGGCTTCTACTAATTTCCCTTACTCCCCGGGGGCCACAAATAGATGCATGAATTTGCTTCTCCAGCAGCAACTGCAAGCTGAGAGTCCAAGGCATGAACATCTTTACTTGACCTTTTTATTGGGTTCATAATTTTGTTGAAGTTAATAATTTTGGATTTGAACTTGTAGAGCCTTTTTGGGTGATGATATGCACAAATTTAGTCGGTCTCGGCTCGAAAGAGGTGATTTTGGTATGATGAATCCTGGTTCGAGGCAAATTTACTTGACATTTCCAGCTGATAGTACTTTCAAGGAGGAAGATGTGTCCAATTATTTCAGGTGCATGAATTTCTTCCTGAGCTTGAATGAGGTTATTTATACCTTTCTTTAGCTGATGGAATTGAGTTTATTAAATAATTTGCTTCATCTTGAAGTATTTACGGGCCAGTTCAAGATGTGAGGATTCCGTATCAACAGAAACGGATGTTTGGTTTTGTCACATTTGTTTATCCGGAGACTGTAAAGCTCATTCTTGCAAAGGGCAATCCCCACTATGTATGTGATGCTCGTGTACTCGTCAAACCATACAAGGAGAAAGGCAAAATCCCCGACAAACACAGGTTAGTCCCTCTATAAGCCTTTCTGGGTGGTAGACCAATTATCTTATGTATTATTAATGTTAAATTTGATGACACTTACAGGAAACAGCCTCAGATGGAGAGGGGAGAGTACACGGGATATAGTAGCCCTACCGGGCTGGAGTCGAAAGATTCTTATGATCTTCAGCTCGGTAAGTAAATACTCATCCCTTGCATCGTGCACCAACGATTTCTTGGTTTCTTGAAGTAAACAGCAATGCTTCATGCCTTCACTTCAGTTGGTTTCTAAAAGAAAAAAGGACGTTCCTAATTCATGTTTGATTAAAATGGTATTTTCTTTTTGGCTTTAGGCGCAGGGATGTTCTACAACAATCCCGACATGTTATGGAGAAGAAAACTAGAGGAGCAAGCAGATTTGCAGCAAGCAATTGAGCTCCAAAATAGGAGACTTATGGGTCTACAACTTGACATCAAGAGGAATAGCCACCACCGAACGCTCTCTACCGGTGGCATTCTTTCATCCCCAACACAGTCTCCGAGTTTTTTCAATCAAAATGTCGTCCTATCGGGTGATCGCGGCAGCCTGGAATCTAAAGAAGGTGCCATTTTTATTTATTTCAGTTTTCATTAGACATTGTGTTTCATGGTTGTCGAAAGATGGGATAAAGACTTTTGCATTTGGAATTATGCTGTTACAGAAAATAGTTCAATTTCGGCTGTGAAAAATCCAGTGAATGTTACTGATACAGAGAAACAATCTTCTTCTCTCAAGGATGAAACGACCAAAGACGCAGAAAATCCCAACAAAGAAAGTGATTTGAAAGGAAGGTACTGGACCTCTCCTTGTTTTCTGTGTTTCTTATCTTGATTCGAAACTCATTATTACCAGTAATGTCCTGAAATTAGCATTCAAGTGTGTTAGTTGAATGCATATTAAATGTTGATGTGTGACCTCTAATTCATCTATTTATTTGGTGTCATGTTCTATTGCTCTGAATGATCAAGTTTCTTTATTGATTTGAATGTAGTTTGGAGCACAACCTCCCCGACAGTCCCTTTGCGTCTCCAAAAGCTGCCGGCGACTCCACGACAGCTTTCTCCAGGGAGACTGGAGAGTTCGATAAGATTTCAGTGTCGTCTCTGGCTAACAATAACTCGATCAGTTCGTCTTTCTTTCCTGCTAGTTCTTCGGTAGACGTGGCTCCATTCAAATCGTGTTACTTTCAAGTGCCTAGGTATGATTACTCACTCGATTACCATTAATTAGACGAAATTATTGATACATACAAGCAACTACCTAAATGAATAATGCAGGTTTGCTTCTGGTCACGAGGCCATTGGAATGTAGGCCTAGAATCTTGTCTTGCTTTTTAGCTTCCTTAATGGAGGTAAGTAAACAAAATAATTTGTTGTCCCTTAATTATAAGCTTCTGCTTAATTAATTTTTATGGTTTTGCTTAGTACTTTTATCTTGATACTTGTTCATTTCCTGAGGTGGGTTTGCATTTTGTGTTGAATCTTTCTACAGGATGAAGATTGATTTGATCTGCTAAATCAAATTCCAAGTCAGTGTGACAGGCAGCATTAGTTAGAAATACTATACCTACTTACTATCATACATTAAATTAAAAGGCATACATTAAAAGGCAGTAAAGAAAGTGGGACAGATTGAGAGACAGCCATCCATTTCTCTTTTCATTTCTGTAGTTGAAGAAAGTTGCTGGACAACAGGTAGAAAAAGGAAATAGTTTCAGTGAAATCAAAGAAATATCAATGTGTAGAAGTAAGTAAGTAAATTTCAGGGTCTGTATTTTCTTCCCTCATCTCAGTATTGATGGCTATTTCCCATTGTATAATCCAAAAAAGAAAATTATAAATCCAAAATCTTTCTTTAACTCGTTTAGATCCAGATTCAAGAAAATCCAAGATTATAATATTTGAAGAGCAACTGCAAGCTGAGAGTCCAAGGCATGAACATCTTTACTTGACCTTTTTATTGGGTTCATAATTTTGTTGAAGTTAATAATTTTGGATTTGAACTTGTAGAGCCTTTTTGGGTGATGATATGCACAAATTTAGTCGGTCTCGGCTCGAAAGAGGTGATTTTGGTATGATGAATCCTGGTTCGAGGCAAATTTACTTGACATTTCCAGCTGATAGTACTTTCAAGGAGGAAGATGTGTCCAATTATTTCAGGTGCATGAATTTCTTCCTGAGCTTGAATGAGGTTATTTATACCTTTCTTTAGCTGATGGAATTGAGTTTATTAAATAATTTGCTTCATCTTGAAGTATTTACGGGCCAGTTCAAGATGTGAGGATTCCGTATCAACAGAAACGGATGTTTGGTTTTGTCACATTTGTTTATCCGGAGACTGTAAAGCTCATTCTTGCAAAGGGCAATCCCCACTATGTATGTGATGCTCGTGTACTCGTCAAACCATACAAGGAGAAAGGCAAAATCCCCGACAAACACAGGTTAGTCCCTCTATAAGCCTTTCTGGGTGGTAGACCAATTATCTTATGTATTATTAATGTTAAATTTGATGACACTTACAGGAAACAGCCTCAGATGGAGAGGGGAGAGTACACGGGATATAGTAGCCCTACCGGGCTGGAGTCGAAAGATTCTTATGATCTTCAGCTCGGTAAGTAAATACTCATCCCTTGCATCGTGCACCAACGATTTCTTGGTTTCTTGAAGTAAACAGCAATGCTTCATGCCTTCACTTCAGTTGGTTTCTAAAAGAAAAAAGGACGTTCCTAATTCATGTTTGATTAAAATGGTATTTTCTTTTTGGCTTTAGGCGCAGGGATGTTCTACAACAATCCCGACATGTTATGGAGAAGAAAACTAGAGGAGCAAGCAGATTTGCAGCAAGCAATTGAGCTCCAAAATAGGAGACTTATGGGTCTACAACTTGACATCAAGAGGAATAGCCACCACCGAACACTCTCTACCGGTGGCATTCTTTCATCCCCAACACAGTCTCCGAGTTTTTTCAATCAAAATGTCGTCCTATCGGGTGATCGCGGTAGCCTGGAATCTAAAGAAGGTGCCATTTTTATTTATTTCAGTTTTCATTAGACATTGTGTTTCATGGTTGTCGAAAGATGGGATAAAGACTTTTGCATTTGGAATTATGCTGTTACAGAAAATAGTTCAATTTCGGCTGTGAAAAATCCAGTGAATGTTACTGATACAGAGAAACAATCTTCTTCTCTCAAGGATGAAACGACCAAAGACGCAGAAAATCCCAACAAAGAAAGTGATTTGAAAGGAAGGTACTGGACCTCTCCTTGTTTTCTGTGTTTCTTATCTTGATTCGAAACTCATTATTACCAGTAATGTCCTGAAATTAGCATTCAAGTGTGTTAGTTGAATGCATATTAAATGTTGATGTGTGACCTCTAATTCATCTATTTATTTGGTGTCATGTTCTATTGCTCTGAATGATTAAGTTTCTTTATTGATTTGAATGTAGTTTGGAGCACAACCTCCCCGACAGTCCCTTTGCGTCTCCAAAAGCTGCCGGCGACTCCACGACAGCTTTCTCCAGGGAGACTGGAGAGTTCGATAAGATTTCAGTGTCGTCTCTGGCTAACAATAACTCGATCAGTCCGTCTTTCTTTCCTGCTAGTTCTTCGGTAGACGTGGCTCCATTCAAATCGTGGTACTTTCAAGTGCCTAGGTATGATTACTCACTCGATTACCATTAATTAGACGAAATTATTGATACATACAAGCAACTACCTAAATGAATAATGCAGGTTTGCTTCTGGTCACGAGGCCATTGGAATGTAGGCCTAGAATCTTGTCTTGCTTTTTAGCTTCCTTAATGGAGGTAAGTAAACAAAATAATTTGTTGTCCCTTAATTATAAGCTTCTGCTTAATTAATTTTTATGGTTTTGCTTAGTACTTTTATCTTGATACTTGTTCATTTCCTGAGGTGGGTTTGCATTTTGTGTTGAATCTTTCTACAGGATGAAGATTGATTTGATCTGCTAAATCAAATTCCAAGTCAGTGTGACAGGCAGCATTAGTTAGAAATACTATACCTACTTACTATCATACATTAAATTAAAAGGCATACATTAAAAGGCAGTAAAGAAAGTGGGACAGATTGAGAGGGCCATCCATTTCTCTTTTCATTTCTGTAGTTGAAGAAAGTTGCTGGACAACAGGTAGAAAAAGGAAATAGTTTCAGTGAAATCAAAGAAATATCAATGTGTAGAAGTAAGTAAGTAAATTTCAGGGTCTGTATTTTCTTCCCTCTTCTCAGTATTGATGGCTATTTCCCATTGTATAATCCAAAAAAGAAAATTATAAATCCAAAATCTTTCTTTAACTCGTTTAGATCCAGATTCAAGAAAATCCAAGATTATAATATTTGAAGATCTGCAGTTTTGTTTATACGGGGTGGGGTGGGGTGTGTGCTTTTGCTCCCTCCCTTTGATGGAGGATGGCAACATCACATGGGGGGACTGACTGACAATGTGGGACCCCACCACCAAAAACCCATGTGATTTACTGTCCCTCAGATCAGATCACATCATGTGTGTGTGTGTGTGTGTGTGTGTGTGAGAGAGAGAGAGAGAGAAGTGAAATATGAGCCATTGATATCTAAAAGTATTTATGATGCCACACTTGTGAGAAAGGGTACCGGAAATAATCTTTTAGGGGTTGAGGTGCGTGCTTGTTTGCATCCTTTCTATGTTCACAACTCACATACGTTAGCAAATGATAATTTTACATGTACATTACGGTATTTATAAGGGTGTCAGTCTCCAAGGTCGGCCATGAGATGTTGGTTCAAATTTTTTCGAGTTTTGTTTAGTGAACATCGTTTTTTGCTTACGAGATTCTCTACTTTATATCATGGACGATTAGATATTGTAACCGGAGGTCTATGGTCAGTGGATCTAGAAATTCGAGTGAGAAAGATTAGAAAGTTCCTCTCGATAGATGCAACTGTAACTAATATATTCAGCCCCCGTTTGGATCCCATTTTGTAGAGTTGAAAATGGGTGGAATAATATTTTTTTGAAAAATGAGTGGTTGAAAAAAAAAAAGGAAAATATTTCGATTAACATGTAATATTATTTTATGAAAGATTTTATAGTTGGAAATAGAAGAGAAAAATATAATATAATTTAATATAAACTAATGAGTGGGTAGGATTTCAATAATATTCTATAAGCAATTCATAAATTTGAAAAACAACACGCTATTATTTTTATGTAGTCTAAAGTTTCGGTCGCCTTTTCGTCTCTTCTGACCAGAAAGTTTCAAATAATTTACAGCTTGGAAGATAACTATTGCGCCTCAACAGAACCAGGTCATAGATTATGAATTGGACAAATATTTTCTTTCAATTAAATAATATATTTTATATATAATAAAATATTATTCCAATTACTCAAGTTAACTGAATCAGAATTAATCCAGAAATAACTCAAATTGACAGTCATGACACCAACTTTGATCTTCTCAAAGAACTACAATTCCAATCATCACCAAATCAGCAAATTTGAGGATGTAAAAAGATAGAATTTATAACCATATTTTATGCAGCATAAAGCAAGAAAAGCACTCAAAAAATGTCGTTTTGTATTAATAACATTATGCAAAGTTTAGACTCTGTTTGTTTCTCATTTTCAAAAGAATGAGAATGAAAAATATAGTCGTTACGGACGCTACATAAGAGATAAAAATTCAAATTTGGTGGCTTGATGTGATGAATAACGATCATATTTTTCATTTTAATGAGGAAATAATGGGAACCAAACGGGGGGCTTATATTCCTAGTTTGCATTCCTAATATGTTTTGATTTCCATTTATCATAAAAATACATGAAAACAATAATTTTTAAATAAAAAAGTATGTAGTTATTTATTATTTTGGAAAGTAATGTGCTGTCGTCCAAATATTTCAAATTTCCAGGCTTGAATTAAAACTGATATTATTGAATTATTATATTTTTCTCCAAACGTTTTAACTCACTACAAAAATTTAAAATTTGTAGTCGAAAGTGTACATGTTCAAATTTCAGTGTTAATTTCGTTTATCTTTTATGTTATAATATTTTTCCGACGTTAGAAAGTGATATGATGTGACACTTTTTAATTGAAATGCCACACACCGTGTAATTTAATGGTTTTAATAGAAGATTTTTGTTTAAGCTTGCAATGATCTTGTAGAAAAGACAATGTAAGTGATATTTAGATCTCACTCCCTACAATTTTTGTTGGATATGTATTAAAATTGTGCATTTGAAAGTAACATAAAACATAAAATGTAACTTTTTAATTAAGCATGGTGTAATATGGTTGTGCCACACACACACACACACATATATATATATATATGTTGGAATTAATTAAATTTGATTTGGGTTTGATTTGGGTTTAAAATATTAAATGTAATATTTAATGATATGGGTCATTGTAATTAATTTAAGTGAATTGGAAAAGTCTCCAATATAGGCCCATATGTTGATAAGCCCATTTTAAGTGGTTTTTATATGGAAAGGAGTCCCACATCGAAAGTTTACAAGAAAATAGTCTTGTTTATATAGTGGGTTGTGTAAATAATATATAATTTAATATGTTACCTACCACTTGGCTAACTTTAGCTAGCCAAAGGCTAGTCACCACTAGCACCATTCCCCGGACCCGGACCCGGACCCGGACCCGGACCCGATCCCGGTCCCGGCACGCGCACGTCGCAAAGTACGCATTGGGCGCTTTAGAGGCGCACTTGGCACTACGCATCGTCGCGAGGAGCTGGGGAGCCTTATAGTTTTCGGAAATGGACTCGTGGTTCGATGACGTGGCAGCACAAGGCTCGATGAGTTGGCATTCTAGGTGGCGCACGAGTGGTAGGTCGCGTCCCTTCGTCCTGCATGGCGGTTAGGTGTACGCGTGGCATCCGTATGGCTGTGACTGTTCAGAAATTGGTGAATAGGCATGATGAATGGACACTTCACTTCATGGTTCAATCTGGGCCGTCAGATCATAAAAATAGTGCGATCCAATGGCTATTCACCAATCAGACCAAGTGGTGCACCAGTTCCTGAAATGTCACACACCTGTTCCATGAGACACTTCAATCTCTATAAATAGGGACCCCCAGATTCGTTTTTTGACACACCAAATCAATTACGAATTCAATTGATTTCTAAATTCTTCTATCTCCATATTCTGCTCGTAAAAAATCTCTTATACTTCCGTCGTTATTCCGTTCAAGTACGATCATTCATTGGTTCGACCGACAAGGTTGGTATTGTGCAGTATCGACTTTGGAAGGAGCGTTGTATCTTGGGAGACAGACGTCCATAATCCCGTTTGCACTTCATTGGGGGGCGAAATCTGTCTTAAGGAGATTTGCTTACTTTATTGGCATACCTCGCTTCATTTACTGTCTATTTTTCTGCTTATTTTATTTCTTCTTTTGATTGCGTTAGTCGAATTTCCGACAACAATCTTAAGACAGATTATTTATTTTTTCATTTCTTCTACATTTCTATTATTGATTATTTTCTGTAATTGTGGTTTTACAGAAAATGGCTAGTACATCAAATAATAATACTAGCGCTGTGATTGGTACTATTGAGAGCAATACTAATGCGGTGATTGCGCCAAATTCAGGTTCCAATCAATTTGTCATGCCGCCGGCTTCACAATATGAGAAATCGGAAAAGTTCAATGGCACGGATATCAAACGTTGGCAACAGAAGATGCTATTCTATTTGACAACATTGAACTTAGTAAAATTTCTGCGTGAAGAATGTCCTGCACAAACATCGGAGAATGCTACTGATAAAAATACTCAGTTAGCTATTGAAGCATGGAAACATGCGGATTTCTTATGCCGTAATTACATTCTCAATGGATTAGATAACACTTTATATAGTGTGTATTGTAATTACAAGACGGTTAAAGAACTGTGGGAATCTCTTGACAAAAAATACAAAATCTAAGATGTCGGGACGAAGAAATTCATTGTCAGCAAATTTCTAGATTTCAAGATGACTGATTCAAAGACAGTTATGAGTCAGGTTCAAGAGATACAAGTTCTACTTCACGATATTGAAGCTGAAGGTATGACTTTAAGTGAATCTTTCCAAATAGCTGCTATGATCGAGAAACTACCTCCACTATGGAAAGATTTCAAAAACTATCTCAAGCATAAACGCAAAGAGATGACGATGGAGGATCTAATTGTTCGACTTCGCATTGAAGAAGACAACCGGGCTGCAGAAAAGAAGAATAATGTCCGCAACATGGAAGCAAAGGCTAACATGGTAGAAGACTCGGGGTCTAAGAACAAGAAAAGGAAGCGTTCTGGCTCATCTATGGACAAAGAAAAAGTCAACAATGCAAAACGGTTCAAAGGCAACTGTTATACCTGCGGGAAGCCGGGACATCGGGCTAAAGACTGTCAAAGCAAAAAGAAGGATACGCAGAAAAGGAAACCGCCCCAAGCCAATATAACCGAAGTGGATAAAATTTCTACAGATGTTGAAGACATCAACTTATCTGCTGTTGTTTCTGAAGTTAATATGGTATCTAATGCCAAGGATTGGTGGTTAGACACAGGAGCCACTCGTCACATCTGTGCAGATAAGGGTCTATTCGCTGAATATAAGACCTTGAATCATAATGAGTGTCTTTACATGGGAAATTCTACAACATCCAATATTGAAGGGATTGGAAAGGTTATTCTGAAATTCACATCGGGGAAGGAACTGACGCTTAATGAAGTTGTACATGTCCCAGATATCAGAAAGAATTTGATTTCAGGAGCTATTCTTAGTAAGAAAGGATTTAAAATGGTGTTTGAATCTGATAGATTTGTACTTACTAAGGGGGGCATGTATGTTGGGAAGGGTTATTTACTTGATGGTCTATTTAAG